TGGAATCAACAGCCACATCTCTACTCAAGCTAGGTCTTCAAGTTAGAGAATATCAGTTGTGATTTGACCTGGAGATGGGTGGGCTTCGCCAGGTCTACATGCCCATGACATACTATGTATAATAGAATACCTCTCAGGTGTTCAGCTGCACAGTGACCCTACAGCTACACTGGATCATGGAACTGACTATTTGGAGGTGGTGGAGGAGGAGGAAATGAAAATTTTTAGGTTCTGACATGACTTGCTTGCAACAAGACTATTTGAAAATTATTTTTGGTAGAATAATACACTTGAAGAATTAAATTCAAGGTTCTCTTAAAGCAATTTTCACAAAATTGGCAAAACTTTGGTAAAATCCCAAATTTGAATTTGGCTCACCAATTCTAGTACTCGAGATTTTAACAAGTTCTACTTTGAATCTGATCACAGACAAAACTAACAACACCAGCGAACAAAATAACTCAATTTTGCTCACATAAACTACAAAAGAGACCTAGATATAACATTCAAGCCATTAAAAATAAAATCATAAGAGTAGAATTCTGTAATAAACTAGAGTGCAAATTGATGTCCTTAAATCTTTACCAAACAATATAGAAGAATCAAATAATGTAATCATATATTCGTTATCCAAACATGTAAGAGCATTTCAAGAATACCTAAATGGATAAAGATACTCCTGTAGGATGACAATCTTGAGTTGAAAAGATTGTTACAAGAAAGAAATAAACAGAATAGGAAGAAACATGGAAGGGAGAATACTAAACAATTAACAAAGAAAATAAAAAAATAAAAAATAGATAATGCCCTAAGAAACCAATATCTCTAAGAAATTGGAAGACAAATTAATGAGACATCAAACATCATAGACAATGTGTTGGAATGTGGAGAAAAGTGAAAAAAGCATTATAACATCATAAAATCCAAACCAAAACAGAAGAAATGTCTTGTAATGGTTTAGTAACATTGAATTGGCAGCTGATCTCAAAAATGACCTACAATCTGTTGTTAATGGGGGCAAAGAATGGCTTGTTAATTTTAATGCATCCAAAATGAAACTGTGCTCTTTTATTCATCCGAGAGAACTCTTTTTGCCTTCCATCAGAATGGCGGATGCTAACCTCCAGTATAGTGACTCCTTGCACCTTCTTGAGCTAATGTTTTCCACTGACATGAAGTGGAAAGATGATATTGAATCACTTGCTTAGTCAGTTTGCTGTGTGGTGCTAGACAATTTTTCTCTCCTGAATCTATCTTACATATTTATAAGTCTCCCACACATCCATGCATTGTATATTTTTGCCATATCTGGTCTGGTACTCCTGCTATATATTTAGAGATTCTTGATAAAAAAAGCAAATAAAAATCTGCAATATTATTGGTACTGACTTGGCATCTTGGCTTCAGTCACTTTTCTTGTTACTGTAATATAGTTTCCCTGTGCATTTTCTATAAATACTTTAATGGTAATTGTTCTGATAAACTTTCTTCTATAGTACCTATGTTAAATAATAGTTTAGTTATTTTTAGGGGGAATGGTACCTTTGCTTGGACTTCCTGAGATTGACCTTTGGGGTCACATGGAAGACAAAACAAGGAAGTCGATTTTGATTGGCTGAATGAGTGTGAGAACAATAGATACAGAGAAAGCTTTTTCAGAGAGTTGTTTTCTTTCTGAAAAAATTTAAATGTCCAAAACTTCTTCATACTATTCATATGTTTAATATGTATATAAATTTGTGCATTGACAAAACATTCCTTTTTTATGCTTAGATATATATATATAGTACCTTAAGTATTTATTATGTTCAACTCAATTTTTAGGTTTGTAGCTACATCAAGAATTATTTTTTCTTAAAAAAGCATTTCAAAATTTTATGTTTCTAAATGTAAGATTATAAAGTCATTTTTTTGCTGGTTCTTAGAAGTTTAAGTTTATATAGTGTTTTCCTGTAAATAATTTTCCATGAATTGCTTTGTACTCATTTGATGGTGTTTTTTTTTAATATGATGAGTAACCATTTTTATTTTTAACATTTTCAGAATTTTAATTTTTGTATATCTTATTTATTGTCTATATTAGTATTTTCCTTAATACTTAGGAACATAAACAAGAAGGAATTTTTATTTTGTACATATTAATATAAAACATAAAATAACAGAAATTATTGATAAAAATTAATACCCTTTTTTATATGGTTTTATGGCCAGATAAAAAGTCAGAGTGAGCTACATTTGACTTGTGGAACATTGTTTATCTCTGCTCTATACAAAGTTAAAATGACTGAATAATTCATGACATTATATCCACAAAATATAAAGTTCATACAGAATTAATAATTCTTTTTGAGAAAAATATTGACTAGGCACTTCAACATAAGTTGGAAAAAGGTAAAAATCAGCCAGAGCAATGCATAAAAGATTCTTGGGCAAACAATATTATTCTCTTTCAAATTTAGAAGCTAAAGTTTTCTTGTCAGCCCAGCTTTGGCATCCCTGACTAAATTCAGAATTCCATCAACAGGAAAGAAGAGGAAATATATCAAAAGCCTCCCAAATATTTTTTAAATTAGCCAAAAATGAAAAAGTACAACTTAAGTACAATTTTAACAAGTAGACTTGGAGATGAGGTGGCAGAGAAGGAGATGATGATGATGATGATGAAGGAGGAAGAGGATCAGCTTCAAGTACTAATAAAACAGAATAAAAATAATAATAGATACATGATAGTAAGCAGCTTCAACTTCATGGCATTTCCATACTGTGATAAAAAACCAAAAAAGCCAGATTGTATTATGAAGTAGTATTTGGTCATTATAGATTGGTGCTAATGATGCTTTTGCCCTAAAACTATGCTTCACTCCCAGGTCATCATTTGATGGAGGCTTTGTTTGAAGCACTGCTTCATTTTTTTTTATGAATTTATTCACTTAATATTTAACAAGTAACAAACTCTGTCAGTCAATGATTGTGACTTTTTTACAATGCAGAGTGGTATTAATGTCGATTGAACTCACAGCAGTAGCAACTTGATCTGTGAAACTAGCTTGCTAACCACTACACTCTAGGAGATTAAGAGATGCAAAAACTGGCAAATCCTCCTCTACATAGCTTCTTTCAGAATTACACACTTCTTTCTCTATTTGATGCATTTGGGGAGACCTTTCTTGAAGAACTCAACAGGTTGGGACTGCGGCCAGGATTACATCTCATTAATAAGTCTCCAGGAAATTCCTGCCTTTCAAATATGACTTCAAAGTGGGAATCAGATGATTCTAGGTCAGGAAAATAGTGAGGAAATAGGAAGAATGCTGTAGCCACAAATAAATGTTTCTATTTGTGAATATTGGTGTTATGTATGGATATATTTTCTTGCAAGACAAGGAAACCTTTGCTGATCATACCAAGTCTTTAATGGCTTCTCATGATTTCAATAACAATCAGGTACAATTATTCCCAGTTATTGTGATAGCTTTACCCAGTAAATCCATAAACACCACACTATAAATATATAAATATTAAAACTGCCACTCATATGAAAGTGAAACAAATGAATTTTATCAATAAAAAATCTCTATTAACAGTGCTTGTTAATAAAAAATTCTTATTCTATTCAAAATTAATTTGGAGAATGTATATTTATTTATACAAAATTTGCAAAATGTGGCACAAAGCTCCCCACCACCAAAAAAAAAAACATGGAGGATGACTCCCCTCCTTAAATTTATAGACAAATCCTACAGATGCATGCTGGGATTTCTTACTATCCAACAAAAATGGACACTTCTCAGTCTAACCCACATATTTTTCTTTCTTTTTTTGAAGCCATAAAGCTATAACCACATGAGTGCATACATTTTGCATGTGAACACAATTTTTAGTTTGTGAACTTTTTACATTATAACTGTCTTATTGTTGCTTTGCTTTGTATTATATTGTCCTGTCTTGTATTATTTTACTCTGTTCTTTTTCCTCTCATTATTATTATTATTATTATTGAGAATTTGTCAGTTCTGCTTAACCATGCTCACTTCGACACTAGTCATGGCAATGGATGGTGTTTATGTTTTATAGTATTTTTTCATGGGAAACCTACCCAGAACAAATTTATATAGCAATTAGGAGTAGAAAAGAATATCAAAATATTAAAGATTAGTTTAAAGCCCTCTCATTTCTTCATAAGGAACAAAAAATCTTCAGTTCACTAAGTATGTATACTAAATTTAAGATATCTACATGAAAAGGTTTTGCCATGTATAGTGAACGTCTGTGAACTATTGCCAAATATATATCTATATGCGATGGATAAATTGTGGCCATTTTATATTTTTAATTTTGCGCATTATTTTTTTTTATTTTGTTGATTGCACAGTATAATAGGGTCAGTTGGGCACTATCTGTGAGAAAAAGAGCATCATGACACAATTCACGCTGGCAGAAATTTGAAAACGACATGCTGTACTGCTTGGCATTCACACCGGAAGCTCCAATATGATTTCAGATTGTTTGGGTGTCAATCTGAGGACAGTGCAGAGGATTCAGAAAGAGATGGATGAGTCTGATGATGATTACAAACCTAATCTAGCAACCAACGTGTTTTGTGCCTACATTTACTTAGGATTTCAGTTTTTTTAAAAAGATGTCCCAAATATAGAGCAGGTAACAAAGTTTGTCCTCTATGTCTAGAGGAAAAATTAGCAATCGCTTTATACAAAGAACCTGATCATTTACTAAATTTAAAAACTGAATCCTAAATAAATGTAGGCACAAAAAATGTTGGTTGCTAGATTAGGTTTAGTCCCCTCCTTTTTTTTTTTTTTTTTTTTAATTTTGAATAAATATTTACCCCTCCCATTGTTGCATTATTTCTTTATTTCTTTTTGTGTTTCTTTTTCTTTTGGTTTGGTTATGTGGTCATGGTTTTGTGTTTGTAGGCTATATATTTATATATATATAAAAACAGAGTAAACTTTGTTTTCATTATTTGTTCTTCAATTTAGGTCCTCAGATTTTACTGCTACTTCAAAGAAACAGTACATGAATCCCCACATGAATTTTACAGAGTAAGGCCATGTCAAATCTTTTATTATTTGGAAGATGACAGCATTACTGTGATGGAACCTAAAGTGGAAAACAGTGGGATGCCACAAGGTAAGTAGATAGAAATAAACTGTTTGTATATTTTGGGACCAAGAATCTCAATATTGTCAGTTTGGGGAGAATCCAGTCGATGGCATGTTCTTGTCATAAATTTCCATTACTTGAAAACATTATAATAGATTGATTCACATATATTATTGTAGACTCAAATATCAAATGAATACATAATGTCAGCATTTTATTATGCAGCTCAATAAAATTGCTGTTAATCAATTGATGCTGGTAATTTTTTCAGGATATACTTATATTAATATAAGAAATAAATCAGGTGAGTTTCAGATTATAATATGTATTCTTTTAAAAAATATTTATAATATTTTGTTTTTGAAGTGTCAGGTTTTATTATGCAAACCAAGTGTAACTTTTTTATTTATAAATAAATCCAAAATGATTGATTGATTTGTTTTTTTTTATGGCTTATCAAACCTTTCCAGGTTATTTAAAGTCAGAAAATATTTTTAGATTGTAAGAATTTGTTTGAGGAAATAATAATGATTTATTGATACAATTCCTACTAATTAAAATTAACCCATAGCTGGGGGCAAGGCAATGAATTCATACCTTTCCCAAGGGTATTTATGTGTAAGCAAACCTCTTACTTGAATTGGAAGTCATCTCTCTGATTTCTAATTCCAAGCTGTTATCAATTACACCACCTGCACACCCAAGCTTACAGCACCTGGTATTCCCAAGTTGTCACTCATCTAGGTACTGACCAGGCTCAACTTTAGTGATTCTATGAGAGCCAGTGTTTCAAAGTGTTATATTCTGTGCTAATAGAATATATACTTGAAAAATACAGTGGATAAAATAAGTAAATATTTATTGTAAAACCAATACAATAAGAATAAAGGTAACAGTTATGCACAAGGTCATCGTAAGTCAATCCAGTAGTGAGTGCTACTATTTGAAGGTCGGTAGTTCTTGTGTAAGTCTGAGTTGTACTCAACAGATTCCAGCTAGACTCTGTAGTCAGTTGACTTACAGATACTTATAGACAGTTACTACCTATAGTGTAGTCACTCATGGGGGTGATAGGTTATTCCATTACATCATAAATTGATATGGCTGTAATCCCAATAAATCCAAAAGATATTCACCATAGAAACATGTATTTGATAAATACAATATCTCATACACCTGGATTAATTATTTTTTTACACGTTAATATCATCCCTTTGACATTCAATAATTTTCATTATAAATTGTAGATATATAAAATTTATAAATAAAACAATACAAATAATCTCAAGTAATCAGAAATTAATCTGAAAAAAAAAAATTCTTTTTCCTTGATTATAAGCAAGATGGGTTCCATCTTATTCTTTATAAATCTTTTATTTATTGATTCTGGGGTAAATTTCTTAATTATTCTTGTATTTTTAATTTACTGATTTGTCAATTTGAGTGTTGAAAAGCTTTGACTCAAATGTGAAATGTTGGATCACATATTACTTTCTTGTTTTTGATGCTTGACATTTTTCTTTTAAACATAAATATATTAGCATAGTTTAAACTCATGCCCACAACAAAAGGTGTATCAAAGGGATGTTTTTTCCTTGAAACCACTATTATTTTAGCTACCTTAATTTTTTGCCAATGTTTATTGTTTCAAAAAGTGACTATTAGAATTTTAATTAAACCTAAATATATGAAAGTGAATTTATACATTTTATTTGTTCTTGAGAATTTACAACAGAAATATTATAACACTATTTATTAGAGTGGATATTTACAAGAATTAATTTATATGTACAACAAAAAATATGCAAACCAACTGCAATTCAGTGTTCATCATTTACCATTTATAAAGAAATAAATATGAAAACAATAAAAAAAATTTTTTATTCATAAATTTATAAAAAATTACTAAATTGTAAAAATATGTGAACCAACCATAATGAAATCCTTATTATTTACCATTTTATAAAGTTTGGCAATTAGCTGATGTTTTGCCAACCATTCCAATAAACAATCTAATAAATAAATAATGTTTACTTTACTATTTTTGTTGTAAATCCTTGAGAACAAAGAAAATGTATAAATTCACTTGGATATGTTTAAGTTTTATTAAAATTGTAATTATTGCTTTTTAAAAGAATAAACATTGCCGAGGAATGAAAGTAGTTAAAATGATAGCAGTGTCAAGGAAAAAACTGTACTTTTGACATGTTTCTTTGGTTTCAAAATCATGAAAAATTAAAGAAAATGTAAGATTTTCTTTTATTGAAAAGAAAATTTCTTTTTTCTCCAGGAACATTTCTCAGAAGACAGCAGCTTCCTAAAAATGACCAAGGAGATAAATGGCATTGGACAGACATGAACAATGGTATAAATGTCACTTTTTATGGCCGTAGTTTCCACATATATGACTGTGATGCATTTACCAAGGTTAGTCTGCAAGTTCACATCACATTTTAGATTCATTCTAACATCTTGTTTTTGCAATATCAGCGACAATTTTTATGATTACAGGAATTTACGGTTACATGAGATGGCATTCATTTTCTCTTCAGATTTTTTTGAGATTATAACATTTTCAGATCAAGCAATTTGATAATTCTTCGCAGTTTCACTGTCAAGTAGGTTTATATCTATTTATAGATGAATAACAAAAAAAATCATACAAAAATCAATGGAAAGTGCAGTACTTGGAGTAACTCAGGATAATTATGACTAGGAATAACAGGGAATGTCTAAGACTATGACTAACTTGGAATAACTCAAAATAATTCAGAATAAGTAGGATTAGGAATAATATGGAATAACTACGATTGGTAATAACTCAAAATAAGCAGGACTAGAAATAACTTGGAGTGACTAGGACTAGTAATAACTCATAATTAGTAGGACTAGGAATAACTTGGAATAATAATAACCCTGAACAAGTAGGACTAGGAATAACTTGAAATAACTAGAAACAATTGAGAATAAGTAGGATTAGGAATAAAATAGAAAAACTAGGACTAAGTATAACTAGGATCATTAATAACTCAGAATAAGTAAGACTAAGAATAATCTGGAATGAGTAGAACTAGAAATAACATGGAATAACTAGGACTAGGAATAATATGGAATAAGTAGGACTAGGAACAACTTGGAATGACTAGGAATAACTCAGAATAATTAGGATAATGAATAATTAAGAATAACTAAAACTAGGAATAATTGGAAATAACTTTCAGAGACAGAAAGAAGTCTAAATAAATCTGAGAATGAGCTAATCTTTCAGAGAATTGATTAAGTGACCAAAATGAAATCAGGCATGGCACAAAGGAAAAATACTAAGAAGGAAGGAAAAATTACAGATGAAGCAGAAGGTTTGTTGGAATGTTTCCGAATAGATGACAAATGCAATAAGAGAAAACCAGAGAATGGTGAGATGATATTGAAAGGTTTACTGGCATGACATAACAGAGAATAGCAGAGGCATGGCCATCATGAAAGAATCTAAGAAAGGCCCTACTTGTCCAGCAGTAGACTTGCAGTGGCTGCTGCTGATAGCCAAGACTTTTGAATTGTACACTTTTATTGAAGCCATTGAAAAGCACTCCCTCTACCTAAAATATTAAGTTTAATATGAGCAAGTACTAAACAGTACTTGGCCCAAGCATAAAAGCTCTTAAAGGAGAAAAAAATTCAGTGATTGAGTATTCGATTAGATTTTGTGAAGTGGGTTTTTCTGAGAATTTTTCAGCACCCCCTTGTACATTAAAATTAAGAAGGTGTTAATGTTTGTTTTTTTTTTTTTTTTGGCTAAACATTTTAAGACAAATTTGATAATGTTTTGCTTAAGTGATATTAATTATTGCAAACGATTTCTTTCTGAAATTCTTGGTAGTACCCCATGGCCATTCATTAACTTTTCAAGGCTTCCTTAATTGATTGAATCCCCACCACCAGGAACACACTTTTGATTCTTCCTCTTTTCAGTCTGTTATCCTCTTTTTTCTTTTTTCACCAATTTTCTTATCATCATCTTTATTCTTTTGTTTTGTTAAGAAAGTAAAAAAACCTGTAGATAATCAAAATCATGCATTATGACAAACAATTTATTTATTGTAATCATTTCAGACATTTGTTAATGTGATTGTTGGCTGCATTTGTGTGTTCCTGATTGCACATTCTGCCAGGAACCTACAATACTGGTTTACCATTCATCTTTCTAACATCTCATCACCATAAAGAATTACACAGCCTCACATATAAATAAAATAATGCTGTTCATCTAAGTAACTTTTATCACTTTAAACATTGTTTTTAGTGGGTATCCATATTTGAGTAGATGCTCCATTTATTTATTAAACAGTGTATTTATTTTCATCTACTGGCTGAATATTTGAGAAATATTATTAAAGAAAAATATGTGCTCTCTGGCAGGGTTTGAACGTGCATCCACTTTTGCTGGAGAAATCATCATCATCAGACGTACTTTAGACTGACTCAGCCACAGAGGGTGTTCTGGATCTTTGTCACTTTGTTCTGTTAGGCAGTTCTGAAATACAGAAAATTCTCCTGGTATAGTGTATCAGCAAATGCTCATGTTTCAGGATTCAATTTATATGACCCCCAAAATTTGTGGAAATACCAAAGAAAACAGAATACATGCCATGACCAAGACTGTCTTCTTACTCATAATAGAAGGTAATACTGAACAAGTCTAGAAAAAAGTTTCAATATTGATGTAATCTATTAGTAAAAAAAAAAAAATATAGGAAGAAAAATATTGAGAACCCAATCAGGTTGCATATCATTTCTCAAAACACACATTTCAATTATCTGCTAATTTATGAGAATTTCAAAAGAAATACTAACCAAAATTTTCATCATCACTACCACTTCAGCATTTTAAGGATATGTAGGAAAAGGGTTGTTAAAAGTATATGGGAAAATTAAATAAAATCCTAAATAACTCTTTTCAAAATAAATGATTTTAACTTGATATTCCCTGTTCTATCGCGCACAGGTAAATCTTCTTTCTCCGATATGAAGCTGCAGGCATTAGAGAGCCAGCAATCATAATGCTTCTCATTCAATACACTGTAAAGAAACTTCATGAAATCAGTAATGTGAATGCTAAAATATTTAACATATGAATATACTTGGTTTTCTAAATGTTATTTAATATCTATAAAGCTAAAAAAAAGTAACAAATTGAGCAATATTTATTGTTAAGATTTTCAGTACTCTGTATTTTCTATGCTTCACTTAACATCATGCATTATGCTTTCTCGTCTAATGTTTTCTGTTGATCTTTCAAAATGAACTGACTTTTCAAAGCTCCTTTCAATAAAGTACTGTGAAGTATGACAACATCCTAACATGTCTTCCTGTTTTAAGCTGGCTTGAAAGCTGGTGAGTTCTATACAAATCATTCAAACAACTATTCTCTAAATCAAAGAGGTAAAAAAGAAAGTAGGTGAAGGATAAACATTAGAATTGATATGTACAAGTCTGTCATATTGGCATAACTCCAAAAATGCATTTGTATCTTTATCTTTTTGTTTTCTTCCTCACATAATAGATGATGACATATTTTCCTTGTTGGGTATTTTTGACTTTCTAAATAATCTTTCAACAGGAGCACCTCCTAAAAACATTTTTATCAAAGCATTTATAGCCCACACATGTAAATAAAACAAATTTCTTCACGGTATAAACAAAATGAAAAATAGATTTGTAAATATATAGATATCATAAATATGAGAAATAAGAAATATTGTATCCTGATTAACCAAATGTCTTTTTTTGTTTATCTGTTTGTCATTGTATAACTCAAAGAGAATAAAGACTATGGTCATCTTAGAAATAAAGACAGATACTAAAAATTTCCTGCCAAGAAATCAAAGCCATGACCTTTTTATTCCATGACATTTTCTAGTCACTGGATAATTAAGAGTTTAAAAAATTGTATGGTTTTTTATTTGTAGTATGAACAATGGCCAGAATTTAGGCCATCTTCAGAAAATAGCTTAAAATCCTACCTGTGCTATCATCTTCCTCATTATTTTATCATTGGGAATATAGAAAATCAAGATTTGGGATTAGATTTTCTGTTCTCTAGTTAGTTGATTATAAAAGTGAAAACATTTAATCACTGATTATTAAAATTTAACAAAATATCTTAAAGTACATGTTGATACAAAATGATCTGAAAATGACACTACACATGACAAAATTATCCACTCCAGCTCCATGATTATTTGCTACATTGCATTTGCAACATCAGGATGAAAATGTTAGGGATGTGCTTTGCCTAAGATAAGGGCAGGCAAAAATTGCCTTTGTGGACCCCTTAAAAATGACGGCACCGCGGCAATGGCAAAGAGCACCATGGTAGTTTTTTTTTAGAATTTGCAAAATTTATGTTTTTTATTTGTAAAAAATAATATTAACATAAAATCTTTTAAAAATTAATAAAAATAAACAAAATGCTTTAAAATCAAATATTTTTATTCACAAATAACAGATTTGATGACTAGAATTATTAGCTATTATACATTGCAGTGGAAGATTTTCAAAAAAGAAATCAAACATTTACATTATTAGCTTAGAATATGTTGTGGAAAGCACAAGATTGTTGTATTACTGTATAAAAATATAAAGCTTTTTCAGCATAAAAGTCAAAATAACTATTGAAACAAAAAAATATACAGCAAATGTCAACAAAACAATTCTTTACTTTCCAACATGAATATTAATTAGTAATTTCTATAGATAGAAATATTTTCATGACTAATTTTTGTTGCCTAGCATTCAGAATAACTTCCTCTACTCTGGCTATGTGTCAGAATTGAAGAACATTAATTTTCTATTATTTTAGATGGGTGGTGTGTGGCTTCCTGTTTATAATATAAATACAACGTCTGATCGATGACTTTTTGACATAGATGTAGTTTTGCCTTTTTGAGGGGACCAGCCTATTTAAGTATTATTGTTTTAAAATGAAATATATTATTTAATAATAATTATTACTATGTAATGTGTGTGTATATGCATATGATTTTCATTTCATTTCCAGTAGACATAAATGTTTCAAGATTGAAATAAACTTGTAAACATTTGTTGAAATGACTTTCATCTACCTCTTCTCTTTGAAAATATATCTACATAGGGCTCTAGTCAAATTTTTTCTTGGAAAATACCCATGACCACCATATTAAGAAAAAGGTAACATTTTTTGTTCTTAATTTAAAAAAAAAAATAAGAAAAAATTTAAGTTGAAGGCAAAAATTGTCGTGGCTGTGGCTTGTTTTTTAAGGGCACCGTGGCATTGAATACAGGCATTGTGGCCTTTTGCCATGGTGTTGTGGTCTAAACACATCCCTAAAATGTTGATAAAGCACTGCTCAGGACCCCCAGTCAGATTTCCCCCCACCAATAGTACAAAC